AGAAAATTCAGTATAAATACTTTTCACAGTTAATATAAAAGTTAAATGAGCATAAGCTATTTTCACTTAGATTTTTATACTATCTACATCATTACATGAAATCTGGTGACATGCAAATACTCATGTCAAATATAACTTTAATAAGTGACAATCCAATATTCTCACTCACTAGAAACCAAGAAAACATTCCTGTGACATTTCAAGTGTTTACATTTTAATTATGAAATTGAACTTTTATTTTAACAATTCACAAATATTTTTTCAAATAAAGCCATTAGCAAAACTGCACAAAATGATTTAAAAATTAAACTCTAAAAATTAATGTATTCAGTGTAAGCGTCTACAGTATAAGTAGAATGCATACTGTATGAGTAGCATACAATGTTTTCTAGGGAAAAAGAGAAATTCAAGCCATGGTTTAAAAAGTTCATTCATTTATAATTCTTGGAGATAATAAGACTCTGAAAGTTTTACCTTTGGAGATAATAAGACTCAGAAAGTTTTACCTAAAGAAATTACTTGTATGCTCTTATTAAATGCTGTTAGGTAGAGAAATCAAACAAATCACTAGAAAACAAACTTTTCAAAAAGTAGAATTTAAGCATCAGCAGAATCTTGCCAACATTTTCTTGTTGTTTAAAAATATTCTGCTGAAGAATAAAAATTAAAGCGCTTAAGGTCACTTCTATTGAGAGCAGTCTTTCTCATCATTATCACGCTTGTGAGTGAGCACAGGAGCAGTGTGTCTTCTCATCGTTTAAAAGTGAACTGTCAAAATAGCTGTAGGTTTACAGACAAAGTTGTAGGAATATTACAAAAAATTCTGTGTATCCTGTACCCACTTTCTCCTGTGGTTCACATTACTATAATAATTTGTCTCAATGACTGAGCCAGTGACCCTCTAATTTTTAAGTGAGAAATCGATATTACATTAGAACTATGTCCTCATCTCTTACTTTCTAGTCTAGTGACTCTTAGTGGCTGAGTAGGTATAAATACAGGGAAGGATCACAGAAAGATAGGACAGCTGTCCAATAGAAATGCCAAATATGCCTCAGGTGACACCATGTAGTGAATTGCATAAGTTGGTTAAATCCACTTTAAGGTTTTAATTTGCATGTGTGCTGTGTATAGTATAAGAAGAGAGGAAGAATTAATTGAGGAGCTGGTTTCTCCCTTATATCAGTCCCATACAGTTGAACTATACAATGACAGAAATATTCTTTATGCTATTGAATGTGGTGGCCACTAGCCACATTGAGCACTTAAAATGGCTGGCACAACTAAGGAACTGAATTTTTTTTCGGTGTTGGAGACTGAACACAGGGCCTTCACACTGAGCTATATCTCCAGCTCTTTTTTTAAAAAAAGTTTTTATTTTAAGACAGGGTCTTTCTAAGTTAATGAATTACGCAGACTGGTCTCAAACTTACAATCCTCCTGCCCCAGTGTCTCAGAGTGCTGGTATCCACCATGACATCTGGCCTGAAGAACTGAATTTTAAATTTTATTTAACTTTAATTAACATTAATGTAAATCTGAATATCCACATGTTAGCTAGTGGCTAGTGTATTGGGCAATGCAGCCTTATATGGTCTTACAGAGTCTCTGTCCCATTTTCAAAGTTTGGTTTTAAAGAGGTAAACAGGCTTGGGAAACTTTACACTTAGGAGCTACACCACATGATGCTGAACGTCTGCCAAATTTGAAATTTCCAGTTTGTGCTCAGCTCACTGTTCTATGCGTGGACCTTTCTTGAGGCTGACAAGCACCACCTCATTTTGACCCACAGCAACACATATGATTCTTAACACTCCTAGTGGTATAAGCATGCCGAGCAACAGGCACTACTAATTAGTGAGCCTGGGAACTACCTGTGAACCTGCGTCTTCTCAGAGCCCAGTAGGGCATTAGAAGAAACAGAGAACATGACAGCCTGTGGTGATTACAGCCTGGGTCCTCAGGCAAATCATGACATATTTCTTACAGGAGCTGTTTTCCGCACATTTAACTCCAAAATTGCTATTAGACTCTTCCAGGAGACTCTGGAAGAGTCAAAGACTTGCAGCTGAAGTGAATGATTGAGCAAGCTGACCAAGGCAACAGGAGGCCAAATGGCTTCACAGACCGGGAAAAGCCAGACCTGTTAGACCCAGAGGTGCCACAGGGACAGAGAACTTTTGCTCCCAGCCGGGAGAATGGACAGACAGTCCCATGAGAATCAAATCTCTGAAATCTCAAGTGATAGGGGGACTTGTGTAAATAATTCTTATTTAAAAGTCACCCCCAAATTCCTAGTGGGAGATGGGGTTGAGGAAGGAGAGGATTACTTTTAACTATTTAAATAAAGATAGAAGACATAATTTACCCCCAGTTCCGAGCGATCCCAGGAAGTGTAAGGAATGTATATGGCCCTCTAAAGAAATGAATCAAGAATGCTAGATAATTTGAAACAGGAAAAGAGAATATTTTCATTGTGTGGTTATGTGTGTTCCACTGAAGAGTTACAGAATAATCTTTATTTACACATTTAAATTTTTCTGATTCAAAGACAACTCTTTGGGTGTTTTAGAGATGTTCAATAAATGTTTATAATAGGAAAACATTCCATTAATTCACTCTATAAGAGAACCAAATTTGGTTTCTTATTTATGCACTAAATATACTTATTATTCCAAAAGGAAATGCTTATTTACAAAAAGCATCTTCAAGCTTTCCACATGCTTTGAACTACTTGTATATGCTAAATCCACAACAGTATCTGCTAAAGGTACTTCTTTCACATGTTAATTCTGGAAATGCATGGGGAAGTGATACTCTAGAAAGACAGTCATTAAGGCCATGCTGTCTGTGTTTTTTATATGCTAATATATATTTTCCCTGAACGGAGGAGTTTGGAAGTAGGCAGAGTTAATCTTAAAAGATAAAAAATGTTAAAAGCACAAGAATATAGGATTTAGGTATACAAAGGGAATCTGCCAAAAATTAAAGCCATTAGCAGCACCTAGACCAAGGGACCAGCATTGTCTCTTTAAAGTGTGGTGATGTCAATGAATAAATTAATGGATGGTGTACCATGACTGTTCAGATGTGTCCCTCTTAAGAAACTTCGTTGTGGGCATGCATGATGGTGAATCTGAGGTATATGAGCTTTCTAAGTGAAGACATTTTCTCACAGAAAGTCAAAATTGAGGGTAAGTGACATTTCCTAGTTCGTAATCATACAAAATGCAGGAACTATCATAACTGTTCTAGTCAGTGCAAAGGACTATTGTGTCCTATTCAGACTACAGTTGCACTTCTATCAAAAACTAGTGATCTAAATAAAATAGAGATCTCAGCTTCCTTACCTTTTACTCACAGCTTGCCAGTTGTTGACTAAAAAGTCCTTTGCGATATATCGGCCAACTTCAGATGCCGCTACAGCTTCTATGACATTTGTTTCATTAAAAGTGAACGGAGATCCAGTGATGGCATAGTCCATGTATCTGCAAAAGTGCATTTGCAAAAAGTAAGTTTTAAGAATCTAATATAGAGTTAAATAAATGGATTAAAATCTCATGGTTCTAACATAGTAATGCACAACTATGTATTCATTTTTGTTTTATTAGCATGTTTCTACTTTTTTCCCCTTGGTATACAAATTATATTCTTCTGCCAGTAACTTTCAAATTAAATTGACCATAATTACCTGTTAAGTATCCATGGGTCTTTACTGCAGCTCATTGCATAGGCAAATTTAATTCTTTCCTCTTTTTCTGTTGTATTAGTATAGATGTTTAACAGAAAGTCCCATTCTTTATCACTTCCCAAGGCAATGCCATAACATAAAATTACACTTTTAATCGGATAAGGTATTCTGTAAAATATACCATGCAATGATATTTGTTTTAGTAGTTAAGTTATTCAGGTTGTCATATATTTAGAAGTATAAATCTAGAACAAGATTGAGATCTCAGATATAAAAAGCAAAGGCAAAGATCTACAAACGAAATTGTGAGAACTTTATTAACATTAATGCCTGGAGAAGAGATCATCCAATTAGCTTAAAAACTAATCTAAGTTTTCAGAGAGAAGTGGGTTAAAATAATGCTGTGTGGACCGGTCATATCTCATTAGCACATTTCCTGAGAGTTCATCTCAGGTGGTAGATTATAGGTAAAGCAATACGATAGGATGATAGTCTCCGCTCGCTGTGAGACTTCAAACTCAGACAAAAGAGAGAGACAGAGATATTCTTCTGATATATTCATGTATGTAACATTAATAAACAATCATAAAAATCATGAAGAATCCAAACAAGTAGTGTGTTTATTGCCACATATTGGCAATGAGTGATCACTGGTGACAATTCACTGTATGAATTCTAATCTCTTATTGTTATGCACAGACCTGTGGAAAATCATCTTCTTAAAACATATTTAAACAGAAATTAAAGATAGAGATTAACTAGGTGAAAGCAAAATGACCACTCTCACTGTGCAACTGTCAAAAAGGCAGGAAATTGCTGATGCTAATAGGACAAAAACAAGTGGAATTAGAACATTACTCTTACTCATACTCTGGACAGTCCATCCATTTTCTGAAAAGCTCTCTTGACAGATGAAGACAGTCTTCAAGATCGAACCCACATGCAGCTGCAAAAAGGCTGTCCAGTGAAATTCTTGAAGGAAAAGACAATGCAAAGCATTTCATTTTGCATTATCACATTCACTTACTCTGCTTCCAGGAATGTATATTTCATGAAAGGAAGAGTATTTGCAGACATTTTTCCATAACAAACTTTTTTCCATAACATGTTTTAAAAAATAGCCTTTGCAGATAACAAATGTATTTAAGACTCAGAGAAACATTTGTTGAGCAGTTCTCAGGCACCAAGAGAAGCTCCTAAGACTGGTGTATTTTAAAATTTAAAAATAAATTACTGCTATCTTTCATCCCCCTCACACACACATGGGTGTACACACACTCCACATCTGTGGTCAATTTACTCTCCTCCTTTTTGCAATAATCCCCTTATGGATTTAAAAAATGTCTTTAGAGTATCTGGTCTGATACATTTAAAAATAACATTCTTTTTCTATACAAGAAAAGGAAAGAAAATAGTGTATTTTTCCTCTTTCTGCAGTTTGCTTTCCCTTGATTAAGCATTATTTCTTTCTGTACTTCTGGCTATTACACACATGCCTAGGAAAGACACGGAGGTGTTCGCTTTGTTTGGTTTGTTCTTGTTAGTTGAGAAGGGGCACACACTGTGGTTCAAAACAAAATAAATCTGACAACGTACAGTAAAGAATAGAAATAAATGCAGGTAAATAATACCTTTTAGTGTGTCTTACTACCCCACTCTAAGTTTGAGGCCTAGGTAAGGAAGCCAAACAGGTCACAAATTTTCCAAAAACACAAAAGCTAAATCCCTGTTGATTCACCTTCTACTTTCAACCTAGCTGAACCTGACCTTGTGATAAACAGGCATGGCTTTTCCAAAGGCAAAGGGGCTCTGAGAGACAGTTCCGGGCGTTCATTCACACACCCACTCCCTCTCCCTCCCAACCCAACTCCAAACCGGCTGCAGCAAGATGGAGTTGTATGAAGTGCAGTCTGTCCCCAAAAGAAGAACTGGCCCCAGGATGCTACAGAAAATACAGCACTCCGGTCCAGTGTAGGAGAGCCAGGAGTGTGTCTGCTTAATAGATGTGCTGTCTGGCTGAGCGCAATTTTTCCTGCACTTTCTTTGACACAATTTGCCCGTACCTACTCTACCCCAGACAGGTCCTCATTATATTCTACCTACAGGCCTACGCCATTCCATATCTTTCCTGTTAAAAAAGTTTCTAGCACTAAAATTTCTATCTTCTCAGAAGGGTGCTATTGTGGGAGAATGATCACTTTTTTTTTTTTTTTCTGTATTTCTTGTTCGGTCTACTTAATTGACCTTAGTGTTGACTAGAAGTTGTAGCTATAATGTCTGTACTATTTTTGGCCAAAAACACCTTTCCTACCTATGGAAGTCCAGCCTCCACATATAAACCTCAGGTCATAGAGAGGATAGAAGGACCATGTCCCATGTTGCCTTCCACTCCTTCCCAGACCATCATAACAACACGTTTAGTCCCCACAGGAAGATAATTTGCAATACTTAATCACAGTCATATAAAAGTCACACATATGTATCACTGACAACCTACCTCAGCCCCTGTCACGTGCCCTGTGGTACTAGGGTTTGACCCAGGGCTCCCCACTGAAGTATATTTCTAGCTCCCTCTCCCGTTTTCCCTGAGACAGGGTCTCCTTAGGTGACTAAGTGGTCCAAGCTGAGCTTGACCTTGCTATCCTCCTACTTCAGCCTCCAAAAGTGCTAGAATTATTCATCACCACACCTGGCTACCTCAGCAGATCTGTATCCTAGTAGAATTCCTGTTTTCACTTGTGGCATTTCCATGTAGGGCAGTTTTGCTTAGCACAACCTATCACCATTAGAAGACTTATTTAGTTTCAACCAGTAGCCTAAGTTCTAAGAATTTGGCACTATGAACTGTGAGTACATGCACATGCCTTGTAGGTACATTAAGATCCCAAGTTATTATTTCCTGTGAGGCTATATGTAGCCCACCAGTCTCAGAGCTATTATTCTCAAGTAGCACACAAACTGTCTTAGTAAATAATAGATATTAAAATTCTTTTATGAATGTGAAATCCCATCTATTAATATGAATCATTTTACTCAGTTATCATTGCTTAAAAATACTTACAGAGCTAGATAGTCATCTTGCAATACTGCCACATTTTCACGAATTATAGCTGCATAAATATTCCATATTGGCGTTAGTCTCTTTAATAGATACTTCTATGAACCACAAAAAAATTGCACTGTTAGCTCTGACTCACAACACTGAATCTTCACTGTTTTCTATTTGTTTGTAAAGATATTAATGGAAAACATATATCTTTTCAGAAATTATTTTTATTTATTATTAAATGTGTAACTGTTATTTTTTTTCCTCTAGGTTCAGTTCCCTTATACATACAATGTGATGTATAGCAATATCAAAGTTATGGTGCTACTATGAAGATTAAATAATATAACATCCATAAGCACATTGCTTGACAGTAAGAACTCAATAATATTAATTGTTGCTATCATGAAATATTAGCCAAGATCTATTCAATATAAAAGAAACATGTAAAAGCACAAAACAACTTTTTACCTTAAAACTTTCATAAGTATATATACTTCCAAATATAATAACTGACTTATGCTCTAGACCAGTGGTGGAGAGCCTATGGCATGGGTGATACTTGTTTTTCTTTTAAAACAAAAGATCTTAATGTGTCACTTGTTTTTCTAAACTAAAACCTCAGTATTCAGATATAATTGCAGTGTTGGTACTCTGTGATAAATAAGGGGGTTTGGGGTTGTAGTTTGGGTACTCATCTCTAAAAGGTTCACCACCACTTCTCTAGACAAATTGAATCCCTGAGTCTGAAGTAAAACATCTCCAAGTGAGCTATCATCCAGTAAATATAGAATTATATAAGTTAGACATTTACTAATGTACTCCAAAAACAAACTAGATGCTATCCATTCAAATTATTTAAAGACAAGTATTATATTCTACTTCTTGCTTTTAAAAGATTTTCTATTGATCACCATTCCTATACCCAACTGAGTTTCCAGTGGTACTTTGGATTCTAGAAAAAATAACATCTGGAACCTGAGGCATTTGTGATAATACCCTCAGAAATCTTAGAATCTCCCTCGCAAACCCACCTGAGACTTTCTGGTTGGTTTGGGGCTGCTAACTATTGAAAGAGTTGCTCCCTAAATTTTATTTTGATTATATCCATGTCATTTTTCTTAGCATTACTGTTTAAGATCTAATGGTGGAATTCTTCTCTTTTATATTATTTAACGTTCAATATCATGTCATTTCTTCATTCATTCATTCTGATTTCCCTCCCTCTCTTCCAAATATCAAAAGTAGCTTCAAAACTTTTACTTTTTCTGCAATGTACCCCTCTGGTTTTAAATGCTGGTTCTGCAGATTAGAGTATTGCAATTATGAACAGAGAGTTGTTAAAAGACATCCTGTTTGTCTACCAATCTCTTCGGGAAATAGTTTCTATTAGGTACTCAACTTTTCTATAGGAAAAAAGGATATTATTTGAGTCATTTCTGAATTCTTAGGATACACTGTTCCTTCACCAAGAATGAAGCACTCTTCCAAATTTCTCTCATACTCATCTCCTAGACCAGGTCAATGGCTGAGGCATTGTCTTCTAAGCATAAGTAACTATTGCCGAGAAAATAAATAGGTACATGGAAGGAGTAGCCTACTACTTTGAGAAATATCTCTCTCACAGATGCCAGCTCACAGATGGAAAGAAGAGATTATTTTAAAACTACATAACAAAGCATGAAATTACCTTTAATAATGGATACATATCATAATTTTTCACATCAGAAAAAAGATCCCTGGTTACCAAGTTTGCCAAGACTTCATGCCATACTATGATTTCATCTTCTTCAGCAAGGTATTTGGTTAAATCAAGCGCTGTTTCAATCTCAATGTAATTGTTTCTGTTTGATTTAAAAGAAAATATGCTCAAAACACCTTCATCTACTAAATGATTTGTACTCTTTCTTGTTCTATGCTTCAATGCCTGACTTCAGTATGGTAAGTGAATAAATCAAGAAGCAAGAAGGTGAAGACCTCATCTTACTGATAAGCTGGAACCCAAGAAATGTCAGACTGCCCGTTCCAGTTTGGTAGATTCAAGTGTCCAATTAGAAGCTGCAGGAAATGTAGCCCGAATGTTGGACTGATTATTGAGTGATAGGTACATACTGTGTATTTGATATGTATTCTTATGACAGTTTAACTTCCATTTAACAAGTATTAATTAAAAATCATTCCCTAATTACTGCCAGCTGCCCAGGAGTAGACATACTAGTACATTTGTCTACCTTTAAGAACCTTAGTAAGGAGCTGGGACTTAGTAAAAGAAGCTGTTCATGAAAAGTCCCCCAAAAGATGATGAATACTAAAACAGTAACCAAGAGGAAAAACAAACACCTGAAAAGGTAAGGAGGAAGAGGGAAAAGCCTGGAAAGGTCTCAGGGAGGAGGAACTTGAGAAGACAGAAAGATGGGTAGGATTAAAATGGTAGAAAGAGGCGGGTGCCCAGGACCAAGAGGTGAGGAAGAAATGTGTGCGGTGGGAGTATTGATCTAACAGGGGCAGGGAGGGGTGTCCTGAGAAGTGGAGGCCAACAAGGGAAGCTGTTTAAACCCACTGAGTGCCATGACTATCAGAATGAATAGTTCAGCTTTGGCGGGAAGGTACTTCAGGTAGTTAGTAACCAGGGCAACATGATATAGTTGATGCCTCATTTTTTTCCTACACTGCTATAGAAGACAATGGAAATTTAAAAAAGCAAAAGGGTACCATCTAAGGCAATAGGCTAGGAAAAAGACGATGCAAATTTGGCTTAGCAAGCAGTGCAGGTAGTAAGGTCAGAATCAGAAAGCTACTGCCTGAGCATGAGGGACGGAGGCAGCAACATTTCTGAGGTTTTAAGTTCGGGTGATGGGAAGGATGGTGCTGTCCTGACATACAGAGAGAAACTGACAGTGAGAGCAATTCAGAGACAGAAGTAAAATTCAGAGTTTCGGTGCTGATTTTTAAATGATTATAGGATAAACATAAGGCAGGCAGAAGAAAAGACAGGTATTGGCTCAGAGGCACTGATTTAGAATATTTACTGAGATCTTATATACGCTGAGTACTGTACACACACATAATAAAATGGTCACTGAAATCATAAGAATAATGAGTTACAGAAAAGACAGAAGAAAATAAGACAGTCATGGTTGACCTTAAGAGTGCTCAAAGTAATAGGAAGAAAAGAAGTCAGCTACGTGAGGAGAACAGGGTTTGTATATTGGAGCCTCAGGAAGTCAAAAAGGACATTCTCGGGAGGAAGTGGGTCACAGTACCAGTGTCATGTTGACAGCAGAGAGGAGTTTCAACAAGTGTCGAGGGAGGGAATTGCTACAGGTCACAGAGGGAAAAGCCTGTGTATATGTGACATATACCCAGGAAATACGGCAGGCCAAAGAAAGAGAACACATAGTAATTTATTATGCAGACTCCTTAACTTTTGCCTGAAAATTTAAATCCCAAACATATATTAATTTACCTGGTTGAACATTTAGCATCATAGCTTATACTGAATAAATCTGATATATATAGAAGTAATATCTGTAATATATATATATATATATATATATTTTTTTTTTCCTCCAGTACCAGGAACCGAACTCACAACCTTGTGCTTGCCAGGCAGGCACTTTGCCGCTGAGCTAAATCCCCAGCCCAATATCTGTAATATTATCATTAAAATTGTAAGAAATTTTACCTACCACCACTGCAAAATCTCAAGTGATAATCTATTCCCAGGAAACTTTATGTTATAAAATTCCACTATGACCATAATTTGATTATAATTTTAGTCACCTAAGGCCTGTATACACGAAAGAACCAAATTCATAGTAGTAAAGATATTGTGTTTATAAAATTCTCAAGCTGTACTCTAAAACCACGAGCAAAGAGAACATACCCACCTAGACAAGGAAAAGGCGTCATCAATCAACTGTAGTCGGTGAATAACAGGAATAGCCTGCAGAAGGAGAGCCAAGCAGTTGCAATAAAAGATGAGAACATATTTTAGTGAAATGTTTTCAAAACAATTTAAACATTATTGCTGCCTAAGGAGCACTTTCATGTGAAGTGTCTCATCTGCAGAGAAATGGTAGTTACTAGAAACAGTCCCCGCAATTTATTCATTGTATATCTTTTTTGATAAATGATCCCGCTGGACATCACTAATGATGCTCAGATACCACGTGGAGTTTTATCAGATGCTCCCTAAAATGTGCCATGTTAACGAGTAAAACAGGCAACCAAAACAAAAGGCGTCTCAGAGCCATGGAGCACACAACACAGTGTATCACCGCATCAAATTATTTTCAGAGGAGTTTTTGACATAAAAGCTTTTAAATAAATATTATTTATCACTACTTTTATATTATCATGGTAATCTTTTAAATGATATGCGTCTTCTCCAGATTTTATTTATGTGACACAGTCCCCCCGACAGAGCCCCTCCACACACATGTGAAGACAAGACCATTGCCAGTGGAACTCTTTAGCTTCTGTTTAAACCCCTGGGGACGCCAGGCCACCAGACTCATTGCAGTGGCAGTTCTCCACGCGCACCCAAAGCTGGCTACATTATTCCCTTCAAGTCTCCTGGCACTTTGATATCTTTTTTTTTGTTGTTGTTCCAGTACCGGGAATCAAACTCACAACCTCACGCTTGCCAGGCAGGCACTGGGCCGCTGAGCTAAATCCTCAGCCCCTTGATATCTTTGATATCACAACATTCCTCTGGGCACCTAAGTAAGCCAAACTTAATCCTTCTATTGGTAGGAGTCCCATTTCTTTTCTGGCAGTAAGGCTGCATTTACTAGATTAATATTATTAATATGAAGTCCATTTTACTTGCTCACCAATCATGTTGTAGAAAATATTTAACTCAGTTTTTCAGTAAACAAATCTACACCATTTCAAGGAATTATTGCTATCATGGCCTAACCTAGTACTTTTGTGGCCTAGAGTATTCTTAGAAAGTCCTAAGAATTTAGCCACTCTGAAAAAGGTTTTAAAAGAGTGTATTATTATAAGTGGATTTAGCAGCTGTCTTGGTTACTTTTCTCTCGTTGCTGAGACAAAATACCCAACGCCCAAAATGAAGGAAGGAAAGGTTTATTTGGCTTACAGTTTGTGGAGGTTTCAGTCCATACTTGGCTGGCTCCGAGGCAGAAGATAGCAAAGCAACAAGAGCAAAGGGGGGAATGGCAGCCGAACAGCAAAGCAGCTAGAGCAAAAAGGGAGGAAGGGCAGCAAGCAGCTTCTTTTTCTGCCTCACTTTGTAAACAGGCTACCCCCACCTAAGGGGCGTGTAGCTCTCACATAATCTCCATGCCCTCCTCTTCCACAGGTTCAGTATGTACACAAAGTAAGCACTCTGGCTTCCTGTTAAGTTACTTAGCCAAACCTCTAGACTCCCCAAGTTTACAAAATGTTTCAACCATAACAGTAGCTTTATTGAAAATCTCAATAACTTTTTTTAAATTACTGAACACATTCTGAATACCGATGCCTGAATTGTGCCTGCCTGTTAAACATAATACATGTATCATCTAATTTTGTCTTCACAACAATACTTCCAAGTTGGTCCCTTCATACATTATACAGACAAGGAAAATTGAGGTGCTGGCCAAATAAGAGGCCCAAGATTACACTTCTGATAACTGATGAACAAAAACACGAGCACGACTCAAGTTCTGCAACAATATGCTGCACAGCCTCCTCTGCTAGAAAGGCTGCTGTGTGTTTCCAAGAACTTTCAAAGAGAGAAATACTGAAGTTGTCTTTCAGTTCAAGCATTCTAGTTTTATGAATGGAGTCTAAGTGAACTGTCCAAGTATTCATAGCAAATCACAGCAGAGTGAACTGGATAAACTTCTTAGCAGTACCCTCTACACGTGGAGACTTAGTGTAATTCAATGTATTAAAATATGATTAATCTGAGATGACCAACACTTTAATGTTTACAGATTTCATAACAATTTATAGTTGTTTATTTATTTATTTTTTTTTGAGACAGAGTCTCCCTATGTAGCTCAGGATGGCTTTGAACTCACAGCAATCCTCCTGCCTCAGCATCACCACTTGTTTTACAATTTAAAGTGATATTAGATTATTATTGATGTTTTGTGAATTAAATTCTCTGAGAGAGAATGGGAATATGTTTTTAGAAGTAAAATTAATATTTTACAGCATATATAGTAAGTATCTATTATGGACTTAAAGGTTTTGAGTATATTTTAACTATATTACCTCTAAGGCTCATGGATAATATGAAATGATAATATTCCCATCTTATTTTATTTATTTATTTTTTTTGTCTTTGAGACAGGGTCTCACTATGCAGTTCAGGCTGGTCTTGAGCTCACTTTGTAGCCCAGGCTGGTCTCTGACTTGCAATGATTCTCCTGCCTCAGCCTCCCGAGTGCTGGGCTTACAGGTGTGCACCACTACACCTGGCTAATGTTCCCATCTTAAAGTGAGGAAATGGAAATAGAACAATTAAGTAACTTGCAAAAGTTTTCAAAATAAATGATTAAGTGGAAAACATATTGATTCCTATCTGAAAAAGTAAAAGTATTTTGGAAAAGCAAGAAGAATGTTAAAAAATAAAACATATTCAGCCAAAATCACCCCCTCTAAAACTAACAAAAAACTTCTCCAGAGTGGCTGGCAGTGAGGAATGGGACTAGGGATAAGAAAGCTCATCCTCTGAAAGAAAGCTCATCCTCTGAAAGAACAGAGGTCACGTATTCATAGACATGAACATTCTAAAACAAAAGGCCATACCCAGAATAATTAAAAACATCAGAAATAATCTTACCTTAGGATCCCTTTCAAGCTGTTCATTTATTTTCTTCCAACCTAATTTATCATAATTAACTCTATAATATCCAGTCATATTCAAATTTAAAATCACCCAGTCATTATCCGAATCTGAAACTTGCATTTCAGGGAAAACTTCTACAAAAAAAAAAACAAGGAAAAGTTTGAAATAGTATGTTTTTTAAAAATATCCTAATTACTTTTTTATACAATGTACTCTTAGTTCTAAATAATGAATACTAAAAAATTAACTAAATTCTACATTATATATTTGCTTTACCATACAATTATATTTTTCATGTATAATGACTTTTGGTTTGAAACTTTTTTCTTTTCTGGTTAAACACCCATGAAACTTTTCTTTGAAACTCTATGTTCAGTGAAAAAAAAAATTTTTTAAATGAGATAGTGTTTTAAAAGCTAGACAGTTTAGGATTATATTCCCTATCTTTATATGGGTGTATATGTAAAGATGCTTTTTAAAACTTGTTACTTACTACTGCTTTTATTTAGCCAGACTAAAGGTTGTGTAGTTCCGTTTTTCATCCAAAGAATAGGGACGATCCATGTGCCGCTTTTTGGAAGAAAAAAATTAGTTAACTTTCAGGCATCAGAATTTTACCACAACGAGTACTGCTCTGCCATAAAGCAAGATAAGCTTGAGTCATTTGTAGGAAAATGGATGAACCTTGAGATCATAATGTTACATGAAATAAATCAGACACACAAGCTTAACTAGTGCATTGTTTCTCTTACATGAGAAAAACAATTATAAATACAGAGCAAATAAAAGATAGGTAATAGGAAGAAGGGCAATAGCTCTTTCTCAGATGGAAGGAGATCAAGAGATGGGGCAGGCAGGGGAGGAAAGGCGAGGAAAGGGTGAAGATGTGAATCCATGTATCAACTCTACACAAGGCACATAAGCATTATGTTCTCAAGCATGCACTGAAAACAATGCCAAAATCCAAAGTGTACTTATATTTTACTTTCAAAAACAATATACCACTCTAATTTAATATTAAAGAGAAGGTAAAATAGTAGACACAACTCAGTTTTTTTTGCTCATCCGCTCTAGACGTGCAGGACTTTGTCGGCAGGGCTGTTGGCTGCTGTTTTGCTTTGGTCAGTTGCTTGACCCTTTCCGTATTGTGTCCTGTGGATTTATTTTTATAGCATAGGTAACTGCTAAGACTGCCTTGCACCTGAAATGAGACTGTCTTGCATTTCAAGGCCTATTTACAGAAAATTATGGCCACCTGTCCTGACTCAAGAGTATTCATACACATACTACAGACAACCCAAATCTGTCCATGCCCAGAGAAGGGAAGGGTAATTTAATAGAAGCCTTGACAGACATTTCAAAATACTTTTCAGCTTCCAGATTTTTCCAGACCTGAAATGTGTTCACCAAGTACCCAGACACTGATATTTACTGAGTGCCTGCCCCCTCCCCACATTGGAGGACGGATAACGCAGGCGGCCGAAGGAATATGTTAGGTATCCGAAGAGATGCACAACGTGTAGCTTGGGCAGTACTCCAGTGTCCCTCAAATTCTCACATGCCTGCCTCCTCAGACTTTCAACTGTGGGTCTGTATTTCTCTGATAGCTAAAATTCCCCCATCTTCTTAGAAAAATCATAGATCATTACAGTGAGGAGGAGCTTGGGTCTCTGTGTCTTTCCCCTGGTGTTCTGAAGAAAGAGTAGAACCACCTGAAATTACCATTTTGTTGATGGTATTTGAAAATTAATTACTCATTTGTGCTGTGACCTACTACAATGAGATGTCAGAATCAAAACTATCAAAAGCAGTTTAAATTATCTAACAAATTAAGAAAGGAAAAGGGAAGGAGGAAAAGGAGAAAGGAAAGGGAAGGAGAAAGTGATAAAGGCTAGGTTATCACTCATTTTATTTTTACATTTCATTTATTTTACTACATTTATTTTACAGATTAAGCAACTAAAAGTAGGAAAGTTAAAATAAGATTTATCTAAGTTTGAATTTCAGTGAAGTCAGTATTTGAACACAGGCCTAACTATACATAGAGGTATTCTAGCATTGCAGGTATGATTTTATTTTAAATATACTCAGACAGACAAACACACAACATGCACACACGTACAGAACAGTTCCTCAAGAATATAGTTACTTTCACTTCTGTTTTTAGGGAGAAAGCTACTTTGCAAGAGGACATGCTTTTCTTTTAACTAACGTGGCCCTTGGTGGCACTGTCTCATTGTCTCTCACCAGAGCCCTGAGAAATTCGTCACCTATGTCAGAAGGGCATGAGGAAGACCCAAGTTTTGGCCATGGCTGTGGCTCTGGGGATGGGACACCTGAATCTGTAACTGCAGGTGTTTTGTCCTGCTCAGGACTCGGTATCTGCCTCGCACCAGCACACAGTAGCATTCCTCTGTGGAGTCGCTTTGCTGGAGGTTGTGTCCCACTAAGGGCTACGTGTCCTCGTTTTTCCCATCTCATCAGAGCTCAAACCCAAGGAAGGCGAAGACAGAGAGGAACAAGTCTACCTACCTGTGGGAGAGAAGAGTCTGATTTTCAACTTTTCCTAGATAGAACGGCTCCTGTGTCATGGCACCACTGGACACATTCAACGTGATGACTGGAAAACCTCCCTGGTGTGTCCAACTGTCCATTATGCTTTTTACTGTTGCTGGCAAAAGAATTTTACTCTGGTCATCTATGGCCTGATTTAAAAAATCATCACAAAAACATGTACAGTTATCAGCATGCTTTGAAGTAGCAACCTCCTAAAAGATAGCAATCTTTCCTGATTTATGCACATTGTAGTAATCCTAAATGGTTGATGTTCTGGGCTAAACTCAGAATTCTGTTTATTTTTGGATAGAGATAACAGAACACTATAAGTTTTTCTTTGGTATCTGAGAGGAATTAGTTCCAGGACTCTCACAGATACCAAAATCCACAGATGCTCAGATCCCTTATACAAAGTGGAATGGTATTTACATGTAAACTATGCACATTTTCCTATATACTGCATATGATTTGCAAATTATTTATAATGCCCATAATGCTGCAAATGCTATATAAGTACGATGGTTGTTGTACTATGTTGTTTAGGAAATAATAACAAGAAGAAAAGTCTGTACATGCTCAGTACAGACGTAGTTTTCCCCCTAATATTTTCCATCTGGAGTTGATTGAATCCATACAAGTGTGAAACCACAGATACAGAGAACTGACCATATATGAATGATTCCTTATTTTGTTCATCTTTCTTTCTTTCCTTCTGCTTTCTTTCTTTTTTCTTTCTTTCTTTCTTTCACTGAGCACACATTTATGTATTTATTTGAGACAGACTCTGTTTTAGGTGTGGGAATACAATGAAAAACAAGGATGCAGTCCCTGCCCTATGAGAGTTTCACAAACTAAAATGACCTGATCTTGCACTGTACCAGATGAAGTAACTTCACAAGAACATGTGTGAATGTAGGTAGGATGATTACCATTTGAAAATGCCTCCATAGATCATCTTGCTCAGCATTTGAGTAAGAAAACGCCTCCAAATAAGACTGTAAAAATAGAGAAGCAAAAAATAAAATAAAAAAAAAAATAGCATCCCAAAGCAATTTGTGTTTGGTGTCACTCGGGTAATAACAATTTTGCAAACTCACCTTAAGTGCACTGACAAATAAATCCTCATTCAGGAAACTAAAAAGCATCCGGGCCATAGACGCTCCCTAGGATGTAAGAAGCTGTTCATTATTTGAACACAATTATATATATATTCTATTTTATAAGCACTATTCTGAGCTGTGCTCTTGACCAGAATTTGCACTTTAATTGAATGTTTGAATTATTCCCATGCTAATGAAATACTGAATTGTCCTTACTTAATAGGTAAGAAGTGAGCAGATGTCCTACACATAAAGAGGTCAAGGCATACACAAAAATTTTTAAATTGAGGTATTTATTTGCAAGAGTAAATTTCTACCAAACAGAAGGATTTGTCATTAAAATGGAAAATTATTTAAATTTATTCATGATAGATGGTACCTGGCATCTAATATGAGATTGATTAATACTTGCAACTCAGAACTGATTTAACCACATTTTTTGAAACTCATTTACTCAATAAAAATTAAGGTATTTGTAATAAAAATTTTAAATTGCATATTAATCTACAATCCTTAGAATTTATTTTATGCAACTCTCCAGAGTACAGAACAAAGGGAAATATGTAACTGCTTTTACCTTGTTGTAAGTAAATAAGTCAAAGAGTTCATTTATTTCACTTGTTTCTGTGAAATTTTCAACCTTCCTGGATACAGCTCTAGATGCCAGGGCATGATCTTTGCTGAGGACATTATGTAAAACATTAGAAAAAAAGATTTCATTCTATAAAGGAAAAAAAATTGAGCCACATTAACTTCTGAGGTGTTATAGAAACATGAAATTCACTGGTGCTCAAATGTTTTCAAAATATTGAGGCATTTTAAATCTCAAAATATTGAAAGCATAGATATTTCATATCATACTTTCATGATACTGAAGAGATAAAAAAGACAGTAACTGAAAAGTGTCCCAGAATTGTAATATACCTCTACAATCATGTTTTCCTGAATAACAGAACTGTAGGATATTTTCCTTCCCATTTTTCATCTCTTTTCTATTTCATTTTTTTTTTAAAAAATCAATTAATCTAGGTTCTAATCATATAAACTTTCCCTACTCAGGTCCGCAGCTACCTGACAAAGCCTTCCAGGAAGCAGAGTCTTTTAATTCTCTAAAATTTTAGTGGGAAATGAATAGACTCCTTAAAATTAATCAATCTCTCTTACTTGGACATTTACAAAACAGAATGAGTTTTAGATGAGTTTTACAAGGATCCTCACATAATAACACAATTGAAAAGAAATCCTGAGACTGAATGCTAGAGTTTATGACTTATGCATTATGAGAAAACAATTTATATTTTAATGAAAACCACAGGACTCTCCAAGAGGCTAGCTAACTGTCTCTCTCAAACACATGACAAGGGCAAATTATCTCTCGTGTAAATCTAGAAAGAAAACCAATTCATAGTCAAAGAGGGGCATGGTATGACAGAAACAGCAAAGATCTGTGAAGAACCCACACAGTTCCTTCATAGCTTGGAGAGCCAGGGGCACCCCTGAGAGTCTATATGAAGCCTTGGGTCCCCCGCCTGTCTTTGGCACACCCAAAATGACCCTCTCAGCCTTTCACGTTGTCAGAAAAACTTTCAAATTCTATTCTATTTCCATTTTCCAATGTTCCAATTAACATTTCCTATTATAACCTTAACTTTAGATTGGTAATATACTGATTAGGCTATTACCAAACTCTGTTCTTCCAAAAATGAGAAAGCCAATCACACAGAGTAACGTGCTTCACACTTTGTTTTTTTTTTTTTGAGTGAGGGGCTCACTATGTTTACCAACCTGTCCTCAAAGCCATGATCCTCTTGCCTCAGTCTTTCAAGTAGTGGACACACCACTGTGCTTTTAAACTTTAGTGTGAACAAGGGTCTCATGGGAATTTTGTCAAACTCATGCACTAATTTAGTTGGTCTAGGTTGGAGCCTGTATTGCTAATAAACTATCCAAATGCTATTGATGTTGTTAGTCCAAGAATCATACTGTAAATAGCAAGAATTTGGAGAAAACTTTAGCATCGGTCTTATTCTACTCATTATGCATAGGTTTTATTAGTTTTACACTTAAGAGTTATTGAGAATATCTCAGGATTAAGCCATATCATAAAGCACAACATACAAAATAGAGGAAAAAACCTCCATAATCATATACCATTACAATATTAGCATAGCTGTTTCCAATCTTTCCCCCTGTGCATTGATTTGTTCCCCTGGCTGTACAAGTCACTTTTGTTCTGCCACTTCACTTATTATAATACTTTAAAGTGTACTGTCTAATCTTCATAACTATCCTTATAATGGCTGCTGCATTATAAATGGAACAGAAATATAAATTTAAAGAAATAAGCCAAAACTTGATTATCACAGCATGATCAAGTAACAGAGAATTTGCTTATTTACAAAGTATAGCAGCTAAAAATTTTGTAAAAGTAAAACATTGAAGTAAATATGTAGTTTTCCGGTCAGTGGACTATAATCATTTCTCATTTATGTTGTCTCCAGCTTTTGTTGTTTTAATCAGCTTTAATGAACACTTTTGTACTACATGTGACATTCTCCCTATTTTGTGAGGCTTTTCCATTTCAGAATAGATTTTCTCTTTTGCCTCTCTGGTAAAAGGTTTTATATAATCTTAAAAGTATCACTGCAAATACACAAGATAACTGAGAAATGAGGCAAACACCTTTTCCTCAAAAACCTGGAAGTCTTTCCTGTCCTGCTGAAGGGAAACAACTTTTTAAAAAAGTTGTATCAGCTTTTTAGGGGGGAAAAAGATATTTAGCCATTGCATACAGATACTATATAAAATTAAGCTGTACAACCAGTACTTCTTCCTGCAAGCCATGATATCCCAGAGAAGACCATTTCTATTAAAATCTATTTTTTGCCTTAGAAATATTACACTATTTGTCATAATAAATTTGTGTAGAATATCAAAGTGGCTAAAACCACAGGATTTGGAATTAAACTGCCTGGGCTTAAATCCTAGGTCAGCCTCTTAGGAGTTATGTGACTCATAAAAGTCAGTCAACTTTACCTCTGAAATTTAGTATTATCATCTGAAGATGGTGAAAACAACAATGTCCTCACTGGAATACTATGAATACTAAGTTAATTTACATATGTTCTTAGCATAATGCCTAACAAATAGAACATGCTCCTCCTCCTCCCACACTTTCTCCTCCTTCTCATCATTTCTTCACAGTTTTTCTGAAGACCAAATAAGATAATGCATATAATACTCTTAATGAATGCTTAATTAATGGTACTTGTTATAATAGTACACAGTTGATAATCTGTTGAAAGCCTGTGTGAAATCCAGTTAAGCTCAGAGGTGTCCCTCTGTGTGCCTGAACTTGTGATGACAGGGTAAGATCTGACTCACCAAGTCTGCTATTTCCTTGGATCCAGCAGAACAAGAGACAGAGAAAAGTCATTGAGTCTCGGTCTTAGAACTGGAGCTTCTACAGCCAAGAAACCCTTTGTCCTTGTTGTTTTGTAGCCTTGACCACTACTCATTCACATTCTGATTTCATGACTGTCAACTGCAGTTAGATCAGGCAATAGGAAAATAAAAATCTGCTCCTACATCTGGTTCTCTGATTTCTATACTAAATTTCAATCAAAGGAAATCAGAGTTCTTGGTCTCCAGAGATCATTAAAATAAGGCCTGAAGCTTTTTAAAAATACAGCTTGTAGTAATTTCCTAAAGCTCCAGGATCTGATATTTTTCTGATACTGAACTTCACAAGTGACTGAGAAATCATGACTAGAAAATAATGATTAAGAAACCAATGACAAAAAGAAATAATTAGGGGCTGGGGATTTAGCTCAGCGGCAAAAGCGCCTGCCTGGCAAGCGCAAGGTCATGAGTTCGGTTCCCAGTACCGGAGAAAAGCCAAAAAAAAAAAAAAACAAAAAAAACAAAAAAGAAATAATTAAATGATACCAAAGAGACCAATGTTATAAGTTTAGCTGCAAAAATATCAATAATATGTTTTCATCAAGTTTTTCCAGATTCTAATAATAACTTAGCCATTTTAGTTGTAGAAGAGGTAACTGAAATTCAAGTGAATAACATAGTCTATTCAATTAAGAAAATAATGTGAATTTAATTTTTTATGGTAATCAAACTTCTTTCATTATTGACTTTAAACATAGAGTTAATTTGGGATCAAACCAAATGCTTTCAGAAGCATTGACAGATGCCATTAACCATGTGTGGTTCTATTTCATAAAAGAGATATGCATACAGGTTTGTAGGTATACAGCCTACAGAAAGAACTGTTAGAGACAACCAAGGTTTACTATCTGTATGTGAAGTATGTATATATATGAAGAGAGAGCCAGAAAAATGTATATACACTTACACACTTCAGGAAAAGAAGAATAGTATGATACTTTTTCACCAGATGGTATTACCGTCCTATGGGGGACCCTATAGGATGTTATATATTGCAGAAAACCCACTATGCTGCCCACTCTTAGAGAAGAAATTGAAAATGCCATGCAGCAATCTCAGTGACCAAGGTTACCCAAGCAGCATTTTGCCATACTAATAAATGCCTAGAAGCTAATGATGCCCTTGAGCACCTCTTGTAACTGTAGAGGCCAAAGGTAATATGTATTAATCTCATGATGTCTCAATAATACTAAAATATGTTTATCTTTTCCTGACATGTGTATATATTTTTGTCACTCTCTGTCTCATATAATAATATTATATAAATAACATAATATAAATATATAATATATAAAATATAATCATAAAATAAACACATCCCATTCGTGCCTTGAAAGTAACAGTATTCCTGTATATTTTCTCAGCATAATGGTTAAAAGCCTAGTCAGTCAGAGTCCTGGAATCGAATCTCATCTTTGACATTTAATTGCCATGATACCTTGGCAACTTACTTAATGCTTTGGTATCTCAATTTTTGATCTGTGAGGTAGAAGTAATAACAACTACACTCATGTGGTTATTCTGAGGATCAAGATGATATATGTATGACATTCACCCTGGCTGGCATTTACCCTCTAGGTACTTGGCGAATGGCAAATAGGATATTATTTCTACTGTTGTCATGATCTTTCTGCTCATCATCAGATTAGGCCCAGACAACTGGGTCATAAGCACAGTTCTGTACTGTTAGGAAAAAGAACTTGAGGAAGTCACAGACCCTTTGGGTCTCCTGATCTATACAATGACGTCCAGGACAACAGGGCCCATGCACAGTGGAGAGGCAGAAGGGGGAGACACTGCAGAGTGACCGAGCTCGTTGGGAGCATTTTCTAGGACACCCGCAAACAGCAAGAGAGGTGGCGCGGGTCTCGGGTGCTCGACTTCAGTGCTTCTCAAACACTGCGACTTCACAGAGGAAAGAAAGTTTGCAAGAGGCTTTGATGGTGCCAGGAGAGGCTAAACATTTATATACCTAAAATCAAATCGATCTGCAGTATCATGTCATTCTGAAAGGACTTCCTAATTACTTTAAATAAATTAAATATCAGAAACATACGCTGTAGTTCAAATGATCAAATTTTGATATCTTACTGTGATATCTGAATTTAAATTTATTTTTCAAAACACATTACTTTTCACTCCAATTAGCAAAACAGTTATCAGCAAAAATATTTAATGAATCACTGAAAGTAACATATTACTTGCTGTTAAGCCACAGACTAAAGATAGCAATTGCTTTAGAATTTATGTAAGAATAAATGAAAATAACCACAATTGAAATAATTGAAAAGATTATATATGAACACTTTATAAGACGGTGACAAAATACTGGGCAGGCATTAAAAACCTTGTTTCTAAAAAGAATTTAATGAACAGAAATGCTCATTATACAATATGAAGTAGGAAAAGTATTATAAATTTCTATGTAACCCTCATTTTCAAAAATATTTGTCATAGGTTTAAACCCTGGACTAAAAGCATCAGAAAGACATCATGGTTAATCTCTAGTATTAATATCAATAATTAATATTCTTTGAAATTTATATAATTTCAACAATGAGTATACATTATTTTTATAACTAGGAAATTTAAATAACATATAAATTTAACATACTTACTCTTGGGAGTTCAGGATTGAAATAGTTAATTATTCCAAACTCAAAATAAGATGCCAAACCCTCGTTGAGCCAGATATTGTTCCACCAATTCATGGTAACCAAGTTTCCAAACCACTTTCGGAGAAGGGAGAGAAAGAAGAGCTTTCATAAATTTAAGTACTTATCATACTTGCATGCAAAATAAACAGAAGGTCAAAAGACATGATTCAGCTTTACCTGCCATCAATCAAAAACTTGAAAAAGGACTCCAAAGAGCAACTTATTGTTTCAACACAAGGAGGCAGTTATGCATCTCTCTGAAATAATTATTTCACATCCCATAATTGAATGCAATTTCTGATTTAAAACTGTGATGTTCAAACATAAAATAAGGTACAGCAGCATTGTTTAAACTCTTTACTTTGCCCAAATGTTTAGTTAAATAAATCAGAAGTCCTGAACACTGACTTACTACATTATTAATTCTCCCACCTTATACGTTCGGCAGAATTTTGTTGTAAGCATTTGTTATAAGGACATGATTTAATCTGCGCCACACACAAATCACTAACAATCGTATGTTCTCCAACACGGTCCACATACAATTATTCTCTATTTCAGTTGAACAAAAAAAATGTAGCGTTTGTACAGAATTAGGAAAGAAAAGCACAATAATTTCCAAAATCAACAAATCCAAGCCCTCGGTATTTAATCAAATCCTTGCAACAGCTCTTAGCAGCCTGTATTCCAAAACAGTATGTCAGTTAGGCTGTAATAAAAAAAAATAATTTCTTGGGAAGACTAATGTACACATGTGAAAATATGAGTTGACCGTGTTCTGGGTGTTGCTCAATCCTAGTAAGTTGCTCTTTGCCAAAACTTGAGAAGATAACATTTTCATAATGGGGATGATTTCTTTTTTGACAAATGTGTGTTAATGGACTTGCAACTAAAATGTAGCCATAAGAGTCTTTTTTTTTGTTTTGTTTTTTGTTTTTTTTTTTTCAGTACCAAGAATCGAACTCACGACCTCACGTTTGCCAGGCAGGCGCTGTGCTGTTGAGCTAAATCCCCAGCCCCATCATGAGAATCTTTATCAAGTCAAACAGCTAACTTTCTGAAATCACAAGGTGAAAGCACCAAGATCCAATGAAATGAATTTTTATTTGCAGCGCTGTGCTGATGCAGCTTGAGGATAAATTACTACTCCTCTTATTCCTGTACTGTCTGCATCCACTCAGTATTTCTCCAAAATAAAAAAAATTTATGACCATATACTGATGAAACTTATCTCGCAGTGAACTTTCAAATACTCCTTGTTTTAGGTGGAATGAAAAGCAAATTATAGCTCTGCATGGTTTATGTTTCTCAAAGAAAATGTGATACAAAATTAACCTTTGGATGTAAGTCTTCAATCTTGGACAAGACTGTGAGGTCTCCTTACTCTGATTCATCACGAATAACTCAAATTCGGCCAGAATCCCATTACACAGATCCTTTCTTGCTTTCACTCACTGTCATACCTTTCAAGAAATTTTTTTTTCCCCTTAAATTTGGTTTGTGGCAGGGATTTCTGTTTTATTCCTATTTTGGGCAGAGCAGCTGGCGAATGTGAAATAAGAAAGGACAGTTTACTACGTGCCTGGTGTCCAATCTCATGGGAGACAATGTGGGAGATCAGAGTCTTTTTATCTGTCAGGTGATCCCTTGGCTGCAGCAACAATAATGATTCATCAAACATCAGTAGTCCCCAGTTTTCCATTGCACGGTAGTCAAAAACAGGCAAAGCAATTATGTCTAAGTGGATTTAAACGAAGGAAAAATGAAATCATCACTTACAAAAATACCAAGATTATAGCTGTAAATTATCTCAAAACTAAATCATAAAATTACTAGAAAATAGAACAGAATAATAATAAGCTGACAGTAAAGAGGCTTTTCAAAAATTAACACCAAAGACAAAAGACTAAAAATAAATAGTTTTACTATATAAAAATAAAATACCTTTGACAACAGACTTATAAAAATATACAAAGAACTCTTAAAACTCAATATGAACACACAATGCTGAAAACTAGGAACAGATACTTTGCTAAAGAAAATATACAAATTAACATGAAAAGTTACTCAACATGTTAGCTAATTGTAAATTTTAAAACAATGAGATACCACTATAGAGAATGTGAATTTTGAAGAGTACTGAAATGGCTGCTACAATGGCTAAAACTCAAAACATTAGCAATACCAAGAATGTAGAACAACAAGAATGCTATTCAGTGCTGTAGGAACGCAAAATATCACAGTCACTTTGTCAGGCAGTCTGGTAGTTTCTTACAAAGCTAAATGTAGGGCTACCATAAGATCTAACAAAGGCACTTCTAGGTATTTACCCAAATGAACTGAAAACTTACATGTTTACACAAAAACCTGCACACAAATGTTTATAGCAGCTTAACTCATGATTACTAAAAGTTGGAAACAACCAAGATGCCCTTTACTAGATGAATGGATAAATTGTGGTGCATTCTTACAATAAAATATTATTCAACATCAAAAAGAATTAATTCTCAAGCTATGAGGAGACATGGAGGAACCTAATGTGCATATTGCTAACTACCAAAAAGCCAGTGTGAAGAAGCCACATACTGTGATTCCAGGTACACAGCACTGTGGAAGAGGTAGAAGTACAAAACAAGTAAGAAGTTGGGCAGTCCTCTGAGATTCAGGGGAAGGGGGAAAGATCAGTGTGTGAGCACAGGAGACTTTTATGGCAGGGAGACTATTTAGGATGACATTGACATTGTGGAGACACATCATTACACACTCATCAAAATCCACAGATGCATTTAACACAAAAAGTGGAGCCTGGCTTAAACTAAGCACTTTGGCTAGTGATAATGTGTTAGCAATGGTTCATCACTTACAACAGATGCACACACTGGTGGGAACTGTTAACACCAGGATATGGGGTGGTGAGAAGGCAGAGTGGAGAGAAGGTATATGGGGACTCTTTGTACTTTCTGCATAATTTGCCTGTAAACCTAAAGCTGCTCTAAGGTATAAAGTTCATTCGCAAGTAAATAGTTCACCAAAAATAAAACCCGCTATGAACAAATGTGAAAGGCAAACCACAAACTAGGAAAAATACTTGTAATAGTTAACACAACAACTAGATTCTTGAAAAAGACATTTAAAGAATACCAATACACCTAAAAAGCAAGGCATACTCAGGTACCTGAGGCGGGAGGATCACTGCCTAGTCAACATAGTGGGACCTTCTGCCTCAAATATAAACAAACAATTTACCAAAGAAATAATTCAAACATGTAAAAATATTGCTTAAGATATTCATCAAGAAACAAAACTTAAAATCATATAGCACTCTTTCAGATGTGTGAGATTAAAAATGAGTATTGGTATAGTACTGGCACATAGGCCACTGGTGAGGGTGTTAATAATACAGTATTTCTTGAGCGATCTGACAAAATGTTTGAGGGTTCTCAAAATGGTCACACTCTTTCCCTAAAACATTCTACTTTTGGAATTTATGCTAATGCAAATAATATAGATATTTGGAAACATTTTCTTATGAGGGTCTTCTTTAGTTTTTTTTAAAGTAGCCAAGAAAGTAAAATCAACCCAAGTGTTCAACCACAGAGGATTAAATACATTTAAATAAATTATTTTGTTAAGTTGCTATGTGGGAATTCCATGTCTGAAAATGACAATACAAAATAATATTTAGTTATCTGGATCCTGTTGTTGTGTACTGTTATACTTTTAAAGGCATTCAAAGAGCAGTGTCAACTCTATTGTGACATTTTGGTTAAGAGAAAGATAGAGATTCAGAAGGGCCCACCTCGGGAAGATATATACCAAAATGTCAGTGACCATTAGCTCTGTGTGATAGCATTACAAGAGATTTTTCTTCTCTTTTTCTGTGCCTTTCTATATTTTTCCAAACTTCCTATAATGTGATCATTTATTATAACTAAAAGAACAATAAACACATTCTTTTCTTTTTCTAAGGACAACCCTCTTGCCCATGCAACCTGAGCCAATGAGTGTCCTGACATGTGCTATGTTAAGAATTTGCATTTACACGGGGCTGAAATGCACAGGATGTAGTTAGATCCATTCCAGCCATCACACGGCCTGGATCGCTGAATGCCGCACATGCACTGACTTGCTGAGCCTAGGTTGCTTTATCTCCTAAACTTTCTCACCTCCCTTCATACCTCTCCACCTACCATCCTGCTCACTTTCTTCACAAAAGACTGCTCTGCTCCACCCAAGTCAATCCCTTTGGCCCTCCACAAGCACAGTCTTTCTCTTCTTGGGCTATCTGCAATCCCAGGAAATCCTCTGCTCAACCTCGGGTTGCTACCCATACTTGTGATCCAATCTCACCACTATAAAAAGCCATTCCTTGCTAACCCTGATAACTATTTTTAAGCTCTTTTATTCAGATGTATAGAATTAGATTAAGCAAAATCTGTATTTCTTGGTGAACCATCACATATGACCCTGTTTTATTTAAATGATTAGCTCCTTATTTTACAATGATAATATAAACACTCGATTATATTTGATGATATAAATCAACCATTAACTCTTTAGCACTGGAGTTGGGAAACTTCTTCTCCAAAGGACCAGCTAGTAAAAGTGTTTAGCTTTATGGAATATATGTTTCTTGTCACATTTTTGTTTACTATTCCTTGTTTCAAAGAAATCACACACACACACACACACACACACACACGGATGCATGCACAGTAACACTTAGTTTTATGTTTGTAAACGTTAGAAAAGTGCTTCATTGATATATAGATTTCCATTGTGTGAGTGTATAACCACTTATTTATCAATTCTCCTATCAATGGCCATTTTTGCTGTTTTCACTTCAGGGTTATTATGAAAAAGTATAGCTGTGAACACCCTTATCCACATCTACTGGTACACGTGGGCTTAAATTATCTTGAGGATATCCTAAGGAATGGTATCACTAGGCTTAGGGCATACTAATGGTCAACACTGCAAGATAATAAATCCTTTCTAAAGTAGTTGTGACAACTGATACTCCTGTTCACAGTGCTGTACCCTCCCTCACACTTGCCATTTGCCAGGATGTTTGCCTTTTTGCATTGTGGTTTGAGATAGGGTCTTGCATGTAACGCAGCCTGGCTTTCAACTTTCTATGTAGCTCAGGCTGGCCTCAGTCTAGCACTCCTGCTGCCTCAGCCCCTGAGTGCTGATATTAAAGGCATGTACACTGCATTCAAATGTTTACTTTCTGACAACAGAGTGAGCATGATGCTTCACTGCGGCTTTGGATATGCATATCTCAAATTATTAATAAGGTAAAGTGTCTCTTCATAAATGTATTAGTTACATATATTCCCTTTTCTACTCTTATATTTTTCTGTTTTTTTGTTGAGAGAGGGTCTTGCTATACAGTTCAGGCTGGGCTTGAGTTCACTGTGTAGCCCAGGCTGGCCTTGAACTTGCAACAATCCTCTTGCCTCAGCCTCCCAAGTGCTGGGATTACAGGCATGTGCCACCACACCTGGCTTACTTTTATATTTTTCATTTGTTTCTTCTTCTATTGGGTTGTAGTTTTTAAATTTATTTTTAGATGTTCTTTATACATTTCGGACACTCCAATCACCACCTTCTCATCCTCTTTCTTATAAGACTTTTACTTAGCACTTTCTGTCTTGCTAATATAATTTGTTACATGGGAAGTAGCTGTCTCCCTAATTTCAGTTACTTGAACAAAGTTCCAGCCACTTGCTGCTTTTGTATTCCTATAGCACCTAGGAATGTACTTGTCCCAGTATTTGCCCAGTAAATTCTCATAATTACCATCATTATTTCTCTGTTTTACGATTTACCTTGTACTTGGGTTTTATTTCTCCAAAATATATACCACTTGAGTGTATATAACATAGTCCATTATTATTACAAGTTGAGTGTGATCAAAGCTTTTAAGCTGCCATTTGCAAATCTTAAATGTCCTAGTTTATTCTTAAAGGCATCATAATAATACTTTTTTCTTTCAAAATTTGTAACCCAAGCATTTAACTCTACCAGTCTCTAAAACACTGTCACATTTCAATTCACTTTTGACTTTAAACAGTGAGTTAAAATGATAGCAATATTGGGGGAAAATGCTGTTCTTTATAATACTTTATATTATCTTAGGTTCTAAGGCTCAGAATTCCTTGAGCAAGCTACAGGTTAAGCTAAAGGAACACAAGGGAGAAGTTAACCAATGACTTTCACCTGACTCACCAAGACCAAAAGAAAGGCCTATGTGGGAAATGCTGGTGGGGAAAGCATTCATTTTATTAATGACTCACCTGTAAATTAAAGTAATTAAGATATATTTGTGTACATTTATCTTAAAGATCCATCAGTAGAGAAACTATTTAAATCATCTATCAACCAAAATGGAGTTTTAATTGAGTGGCTACCTGTGGGTGTTTATAAGGTAACATTAGCTAAGATACTACGAAGGATATTTTTAAAGAGCTGCATATAATCCTGATACCCAGGAGTTTATAATCTAAGCAAGATGAGCTAATTGCATATATTTACTTCTTCCACCCCAAAACATTTACTGGTTACCATCTGAGAGAAGCACTACCTTAGGCACGGATGGTACAAAGAAAAAGACAATCCAGGTGCTACCCCAGCTTTCTCCTGATCCAACAGGGCAGACCACGAGGAGCCAAGAAAGGCATCTGCCTGCAGGGAGCACTCAGGTGACAAACAAGAACTGAGTTAGCCTAGCCTTGGATAGAAGCCATTCCAGGGTATGCAAACTGCAGGTGCAAGACCTGGAGAACAGGAGAAGAGGGAAGCATGGGAGGCAGCACCGGGGTATGTGCTAAAGCATCTGCCCCACTCTGAGAAACTCCCAAAATCCCTGTGGAGGTCCGTGCACTGTTCTAAAGACACAGTACCGAGCTAGGACTTTATCCTCTGGCAATGAGAAGCGACAGAGGGGTTTTAAGAGGACAGTAACCTGATCAGATTTTTCTCTGAAAACACTCCTCTGGCTTTGTGCAGGAGGATGGATTGGAGAGGCAACAGGGAGGGAGGTGAAGCCCTAGGAGGACTCCTGTGATGGAGATGATGGCGATGTAAACGAGAAACAGTGAGGCCGGGAAAGGAGTGAGTGAGTGAGGATGGGAGATAGCAGGGTGGAGGGGACACTGCACGGAGGAAGTACCTGGAAAAGAAACAAGGGTAACTCTGGGCTTCTCCTTATCTAATGAACATGGATGGAACTTTTCTCGCCTACGCAGAGATCACCTTGTGAGCCTCCAGCACAGAACGCTAGGAGTTTGGTCTGCAAAGTCCACACTCCTACTGCCTCCAACCCCCTACATGGCAGATGTCACCTCCAGAATCTCTGACTGGGCTGACTGCTTCCAGACCTCATCCCTCCTTAGACAGAATGCTGGAGCTACAGAGCTTCTGGATTCCTGATATTCAAGAACCTCATGCCCCAAATATTTATTCCCCACCTTCTTCCACCGTCTGCCAGTGTAGGCAGAGCATACTGTTTCCAGTACTTCCACTAACTTGTCAGGAAAACAAAATCCATTTGCATGATGTGCTCTCAACTTCAGAGAAATCACAGCTGAATGGCTCATATAATTTTATACACATGCCACACAGATCTATGAGAGATAAAATATTTACATATTTTCTCAAGGATCATATAGTCACACATGATTCCAGTTTTATACACTGAAAATTCACAGATGGGACCACCAAGTCCTAACCCAATGACTCACATCTGAAGAATATTTTTTTAAAAACTTATTAAAGGAAACTAGGATAAGTCTTGCAAGCCCACTAGCTAAAAGGATCCAGAACACAGCACTTCTCACGTGCATTAGGAGAGAAAAGGACAAGACCCAGGAGAAAGATTGGGGTCTGGAAGGGGCAAGGCTGCTCTTGGGTGCCAAGGAGAGTCCAAAGCCCAAGAACTCTTGAAAACCTGCTGGGTATACCGCACCATTCAGAGAAGCAATTTCAGATGGGCTTGTATGTATATTGGAAGGTGAAAAACATTATGATGAAAGGCCAGGAGGCTGACTCCAAAAAACTCTTGAAAGTCTCATCTGTGATTGAAACTTAGGGGTCCCACAATAAGAAAACAATTGCACTAAAAGAAAAGATACCTCACCTGTTTTTGGAAGAGGATAACTGATATTAAACAAATCCTCTAGAAATGAGAAGATGGGTCCTGTGATGTTCAAAGCAAAATCTGCACTGCCATTTGCAATGGCATCTTTCCGGGCCCAGATGCGTATCTAAACCAAAACAATTAAGCAGTGATTAAGAAAAATGATAGTGACTTTGGGAAAGGGTCACCTGCTTGCTCCAACTGTCCCTTGTTCAAAAGCCAGTCTTACTTTTTCAGAAGAAGCTACACATTTAAAATACTTAAGTGCATATATGTAATGAGAAAATCCAGGAGGCAGTGACTGCCCTAGAAAATATGTTATGCCAACCTTTGATAGTAACATGTATAATTTTGTTTTGGGTTTTGCTGTTGCTGTTGTCTTAGACAGGGTCTTACTCCATAGTCTAGTTTGGCCTCCAACTTACTGCGATCCTCCTCCCTCAGCCACCCAAGTGCTGAGATTGGGTGCTGGGATTACAGGCATGTACCACCAAACCAGCTATAATTCTGTAATTGTAAAACCACGCTTGGAATGGTCCATACTAGTACCCCCAGGAGTGGATTCTATGGCACCTTGGAGAATTTCTTCTCTTTTCAGGACATATTTCTAATGACTCAAAACAGAAGTGTGCTCTTAGTGATGTTTATACATTATGGTATATATTCAGCAAATTTGAATCATGCACATTTAAAATGATTTAATAATTAAAGCATTAATAGCCCCACCTAGTTTCAAATTTTAAAATAAAACTAACTATGCATGAAACTAAAAAATCTTGGAGTGAGAGTTGAGAATAAAATATTTGTTGTGATGTGAGTGCAATTAATTTATGAAAGAGCTCTGGAGGACATGCTAAGAAAAATAAAAAACAGCATAACAGGCACAGACTTATGTATGCCAAGAGCATGTCCACCTAACTATGCTTTTATTTCTGCTGGAAAATTGTTGTTGAAATATGTGAACTTGTGGTTACGTGAGGGTTTAGGAATGCTCTTTCACAAAATGCAACCACCTGGTTTTGAAGCTCTCGCTTGAATCCCGTCATTACTTTCTGTCTCTGTCGTGCTGCAGAGGCCTCTTTGTGTGGGGAAAGATGGTCCCAAGGCTCTGCCCTGCCCTTACGATAAACCTACACTCCCTGTTCCCACGTTCTCACTTTCCAGGTAACAAGAAGCCTGCTCAAACAAAGATCACGCTAGTGGGAAGTAGTCACCTCTCCCACTGCACTTAACTGTAGCCTTTTGGAAAATAGTACAATTATCAATTAATATTTGCACATTAATTTCCTATTTACAAAGCTCTTCCCATAAATGATCACTCTATAAGTCAAAGGTCCTTCAAATTCACACCTGGCCCACCACTAGACACAACAGATCTTGATATCTAGAAGACTATCTTTGCAAATGCCCTGTGTGCCAAAATTTCAAGCAAAGCATGTTATTTTCATCCTTACTAATGTGTTTCCCATGCTTATTCTGTGCTTCACGTGGACCATATCCTTATTTTCACTAAATATTTACCTCTTAATGAGCAACTTTTGGGTAGGTGAACACTACTCCAAGGATACATTTTGGTTTCCCTATGGAGTATATGATGGACTTACTTTGTAGAGATGAGTCACAGCCAAATGCAACATTCCACTGATAAACTCAGCCTGAAATTTAAGTTTTCTGGCTAAGAATATTACTTCTCAGGCATGCTCCATTTCCTCTGTTTCTATAGCAGCTTGCATTCCTTATAGAGTGATTTTTCATGAAGAAACAGACTTTATCCCTGTACAGAAATTGATGGCACGGCACCAGCACTTACTGCAAGCCACTTGAAATATGGATGCTGAAGGGCCACAGTGTGTATCTTACTAGCTATGGGAAATAGGGAGCTCACTCTTTCTTCCAGGCCCAAAGCATGCATTTCCAAATCATGCCTGAGCAAATTCATCAATGTATGCCATGAATTTTTCACTTGGCCAATTATTACACTTGAGAGTTAAGGATTTCATAATTACTCACTGGTGGGAATTAGATTGCAGTCAATAGCTCAGGAAGATAGGCTGCTGTTTGTAACAACACAACATTACTAATTCATTAGGTGAGGAGGATAAAGGAATGATTTGAGTGATTCTCTCCTGATGGTGGCCATAGCTCGCCATAGCTTCCTTTCTCTACCTCTCAGTGGGATGAGCCTGGAATATCTCAGACCTGAGAGTGGCTCAGCCAGCTACTTGGCCTGATTTTCCTCAACTCTCTAAAGCCCTTGTTATATGCCTAGACCAACCTTGCATAGCTCACACAGCTCCATACTCTGACAGGGAGTGGACCAGTATAGAAAAGACTGACTGAAATCTTACAATGTAATAAGGATATAATTGGAGAGAAACTAGGATTTCAGGACAGAGACCCCAGTCTTTACATAACTCTAGAGAAATGCTGCATGCCCAGAGTTGAGGAACATAGCAGCCCAGCTCCTACAGTGGGATGATGTACAGCCTGCATGTGCCATTTCCACCACAGTGGTTGCTCCTGGCTGCTATCTGCTTTGATTGTTTGGTGTCTGGGCCACACTTGATGCTAAACACTTTGAGCTTCCAGGCTATATGAACACTTTAAGTTAAGCAAGCAACACATACTAAACTCTTGCTTCAGAAGCCAGTATAGCAGCCTTCTCTGTTCTCTGAAAAGGCAGAAACAGGAAAAGGTACTCAAAATCTTTCCTAGAGTGGCTTAGTGTGCCATCTTTCCATGGAAACCCCTCCACAGAGCAGTAGCGGGAAATGTTATATCCCATTCTGCAAAGCTTCACTGAGAGCTGGCTGTAACAGGGCTTGGGAGAGAGAATCAGGAGGAGACAGCAGGGTGTGTAGACATAATTCCTGAATACAGGCAGAGCAGATAGGCAACCCATGGCCAGTACAGTGGCCCTTACCTGAACAATCTTCCCTACTCACCTCCTTGCCTCTTTCTGTTCTGTTGACTTGGTCATAGTCACATATAGCGAGTGCAACTAAATAAGTTGGCATGTGGGGCGTGGTGTAGAAGGTAGTAACAGTCCACTTGCTTCCATTTACATCTTCTCTTTCTGACTGGCCTAAAGAAATCATTGTAGTCCAAATCACTGTAAAACTAGATGATAATATCTAACTCTGAAAGACTTTGTCAAGCCAACTGTCATCCAGCCATTCCTTCCCAACTATTCTGCATAGCCTTGCAATTTGACTCTCTCTACCTACCCTAAGCCATCAAAACAGCAATAGGCTGTTGTGAAAAATGGTCACCCAGGATCCAAACACAAAGTAATAATAGAGATATAGACCCTGATTACCCTGGTTTGGTCAGTGCACATGTGCTGAAATATCATACTACACCTCAAAAATATGTACAATTATTTCTTAATCAAAAATATTTTTAAGACATTTAAGGAGCTGAGAAGGACAATTACCCTGATTTTATCTTTACCCATGGTATACATGTATCAGGTCACTACACTGTACCCCATGAGTGTGTACAATTGATATGACAGTAATTGTTTTTAAAATAAATAATACATTAGGAGGATCTAAGGAACCATCGTAGGCCTGAATTAGCATCCTGAGTAACATGGGCTTGAGTGGGGCTCAAGTTCATGAGGACTGTAAACTTGGTCCCAATCTGCCTTTTCTCTCTTCAGCCCACTTCTGTTTCCCAGTCCGGCCCACTTCTCAGAGCACTTTATCCAGAACTGGCTGGCTCTGTGATAGGTTAGTAATGTGCGCTCTGCTATGCTCCAGTGTCAGCCATGACTTCAGCAGCAGCAATCTGGAGATTAAGGCAGAAATTACAGACGCAAATGTTTCTGAGGGTGGGCACTGACTGTGAGGGGGTTGGGACACTACGGAGAACTGTGGAGACAGCGGCCCAGCCTGGAGGAGGCAGCCTCTTCACAGCTATCACTGGTTGGTGTCATGTAAAAGTTGCAAGGCTGGGGTTAGATCTTTCCAAGTTTCAAAGAAATAGAAATCTAGATTTTATGTAAAATCTAGGGCTCTTTCAAAGTTGGAGACTAACTCAATCCAAAGAAAAAGGCCATGTGACCCAATAAAACACATCTGTGCATCAGACCAAGACCAAGCCCAGCACCTGTTACCACGAATGATCGATAGGTGAAGCCCAACTAACAGGCAGGCAGGCGATCTCCACGTGCCACATCTCCATGATCACGCCCTCAGATTCCAATATACAGAGAATCAGGATTATCATTTCCAAGATGTGGGAGCTAGCATGCATATGACTTACGGCTGCTCTCCCCAATTATTAAAAAGAAACACGTGACTAACATGCTGCCTAGAAAAGCTATTGACATAAAAGCTACTACAAAGTTTATATTTGTATAGTGACAGGGGACACTACTCACCTAGCTGTGGCATGTTGGAAAGGGCCACATAACTTGGATGATGAATAATTGTAATATTAAAAGTTGCCTTAAGAGCCGGCTCATCAAAACAAGGGAAAACATTCCTGGCAAATGTTGGCTCCATGTGAGATGCTATCACGGCTCTGAAATACAGTTTTGGGAAAAAAATCTTTATTTTTGTCTCAAACCAAAGAAAGCAGGAAAAAAAGGAAAGATTGTGGCTTCTAATTAAGTCCGGTGTGTGGGTGGAAGGCAACTAGATGTTTTTCCGCATCTTCTTCAGCGTCCTCCTCAAAACACACACTCCAGTTCTCACTGCACCTAAGAATTCTTGTAAGACTTAAAATAAAAAAAAAAACTCTTTAACTTTCTACCACAAAATATTTGCTTCATTACATCATGAACCTTTAAGAGCTTTCATAAACAAAATAAGAACAAATATAGCAAATACACAATTCTAGTCTTTTGAGAAAGAAGTCTTTTAAAGACTGGGATTATTTGAGAATGGTCTATTATTTTCAGCCTTCGTCAAAATACAAGTCAGTGTGAAGAATGACTACATTTTTCTTTCTTTTCTTCAAGTGTTCTTTCTTTCTCTTGATTGAAAACTTATCAAAAGATTTATTTTGGACATTCTTTTTTTTTTTCCTTTGGTTTGGTTTTTTCCCGGTACCAAGAATTGAACTCACAACCTTGCACTTGCCAGGCAGGCGCTGTGCCACTGAGCTAAATCCCCAGCCCCATTTTGGACATTCTTGAGAGTAAAGAATATAAGTACATGCTAACTGAACAAACCAACCTTCCATTGTATAGACTGAAATAATTGGGAAGATTGATCCAATTTCTACTGATTCTTCTCCTACTTCTATGGAAACATACAAAGAGTGACATCCCATAGTACAGCAATAATTTATAGGAAAAATTCCCTAAGCAAACAAGATGATGTCAGATTAGCCTCTGCAAACACTGTCGGAGTCTGACAAGACACAAGTTCTAGCAAACTGCAGTCTGGATACCATTTGCCAGGACTTTGTTTGGTGATAGTGAAAGTGAAATTCCTTCTCCACTAAGGACCTGGGGCTTTTTGTCTCTAATACACTTCTCCTTGCTTCAGGCCCAATTTTTATATAAATAAAAGATGAATTCAAGAGGGTATGTCTCTCCATTACACAATAAGGCCTCTCCACTCAGAGCAATTTACACAGCTTCAGAAAGGATACACAGGGTGGTCAGTGCACTCAGAGAGCTCTCATAGAGGCGTCTGCAACATCAGTATGGCAGAACTGTAATTTATAAATAGCTTGTTTTGCCCTATTTGCTGTTTTCAATTTTACTATACTCTTGTTTGTATGAATTGAAAGGAAGCTTGTGAGTTCTAACCCTGACCAGTCTGGCTAGAAAACCCTGCCACCAGCTGAATAATGCTGGAGAAGCCACATAATCTTGCTGAGCCTGTTTTTCCACCTAGAAAAAAATGACATTCTGTATGTTGCACTGAGGTTTGAGCTTTTATATTATTGGAAACTAAATTGACCAATAAATCAGCTTTGAATTCCTTATCCTTCCAATCTCACAAATCATTCTTAATATAGATGAAATGTAGAAGAAATCAGGGTCATAAATCACAAAAGGGGTGAAATGTTGAAAACACCAATTCCAAATGCATTAAGAAGGTGACAGAGATTACAGCTAATCACAAAATGAGTGTAAATCATGCCAGCTCAGTGTAAAACTTCTAGAAGCTAGAGGCTGTTTTTTTATTTATTTGTTTGTATCATTTACAATACTTGACAAAAATTGAGTTCATAGCAACCAAATAAGTATTGCTCTGCCTTGAAGCAATTATAAAATATAGGCAACTGAATATTGCTATATACAAGAAAATACAAAGTACTTGGGCAGAGTTTGTTACACTGGCATTCATTCATTTTATAGTTTTGGTTACTGTACTTACGAGGGGTGGGGTAGAGTCTAGAAGAGTCACACAATTGATGATATAATAGAAAACTACTGACAGGGTATTTCAGCCACCTGAGTTCTCGCTTGGGATCTGCAGTGAAAACCAAGTTGTGTAACTTTGGGGAGAGCTGCTTAAACTCTGTAGATGTCAACTGCCTTGAAATGCAGACAGGACTAGGAGAGCTGAAGAGCCTCCTGGGTCTCTAAAACTGTGGTTCTAAGAGGAGATGCAGAGAAAGCCGGTAAGGTGGCCTTGACTAAATTATCTTGAATTGGAAGAAATAGCTTCGGATCCATGCACAGCTTTCAAAGAGTCTGTAGCCCTCTGAATTTAGAGCATTTTGTATAAGCAGTGACATGTTAACATGCAAAGTATAAAGTGCAAAAGAACGTTCAATGATATAAGATGTGCTTCTATATTTTGAACACCTATGAATGCCTGTTGCTTTTGTAACAGAAACTATAGAAATAAAAAAGCTTGGCAGTATCTCCTGTGCTGCCACAGGACCACAAAACTATGAGAGTCAAGGAGGCTGCAAGGTGGGAAGCAGGGAGGAAATCAGACTCTTTAGCAAAGTGGAAAATTTTATGCTACAGATTCAAAAAGGCTAAGAGACACCAGTTTAGTGAGTCACCACTTTAGCAATCAAACATCAAGCAAGTGCCTTCCAGTTCCATGATTCAGGTCTCCAGAGAAGTGAAACGAAAGAAACTCACTTGGATTTTATTCAACTATTTCTCTCCCTAGTTTTATACAAATAAACAAGAAGTTAAGGAAAGATCCCTAAAACACACAGCCTTTTTGGCTCAGTCTTAACTGAAGAGGTCAAGAACAACCAGCAGTACATATCATTTGGCTAGACCACATGTGCATGGCGTTTCCTCCCCTCCTCTCTCTGCTATGGGGTCAAGCACCCCTGTAAGGGTATCCAAACTGCAGCAATAGAGCCATCTGTCACTTTCTCCTGCCTTCTAATTTCACTGAAACATGCTATTATGGTGCCCATGAAGACTATGTTTAGAGTGGTGAGCTGCTGAAGGAATTAATTTGTGAGAATTTGCCTCTTGTCCTGCCAGAGAATCACAGTCTCACTGCTCTCTGCTCCTGGAAGAGATTTCAGTGGTCAAGAACCACATGATGCCCTTGGGGAATCAATCTAGTACCATTATAGAGAAATATCCACTATCTTCACTCTGTAAGGCATTTTGTTCCAAATTATTTTATGAATTCCATATGCTTATGACTCTGATTAACAAGTTTTAAATAGAGAGCTGATCAAAGATGTAGTAAAACTCTTCAAGAGTTGCCTACCTCAACCCTTCATCTTAAAATTTTTTTACACAGTGCACACAGAATGAAAATCTTTAACAAAGCCAAATGTTACACTAATGGCTTGTGGTTTAAGGACCAGCCCATGAATCATGTTTGTTTATTACTTGTGTAATAGGATCTGAAGACTGAAGTTTCCACCAAGCAGCAAAATATAAAAGATGTAAAATTCCAAAGAAAGGTGCCAAACCATATCATGGAGATCTTCAAAGTGAATGTCCTTGAGAATCTGGATGTCATTCTTGGATTTCTCAGCTGAACATGGAAGGACACAGAAGAAAGGTCAAGGAATGAAGCTAGAAGAGAGCAGAGCAGAGATCTTTTGGCAGCCAGTGGGTGGTATTTTGAAAAGCCTCCCATACTGTCAGAATCCTCTAACTCTAGACAAAGGGGAGGAGACCCAAAGAGAACAGTAGATGTATTTATTGAGAGCCAGGTATGGTACAGCACACATGTAATCCCAGGTACTCAGGAGGCTGAGACAAGAGGATTCCAAACCCCAGGCCAGCCTAGGCAACTCAGCAAGACCTTTACCCCCCTTAAAAATACAAGAAAGAAAGAAAAGAAAACAATAATTAGGGATGTAACTTAGTTGCAGAGCACTTGCCTTATGTGTCAGGCCCTGAGTTCAATTCCCAGTACTGGAAAAAGGGAGTGGATCTTGAGGATATATATATATATATATACACACACACATACACACACACACACACACACACACACACACACATCCAACTCATTCTTGAGAAAAGTGAAATTGACACTGTGGCCAGGGTCTAACTCCTCGAAGGTAGATATGTAAAAGGCAAGACAATAATTGGCTGACTTGGAGGATGAGCCAGAAAACTGTTGCTGCCTTGGGACATGTAACAGTCCAGGCAAGGGGCGCATGAGTTTTCCTTGCAAGAGCACTGGGGCTTGAGACAAAAAGGGATCCACTATGGGGACTGCTTGAGGCTTCTCCAAAACAGCCACCTGGAAGAGGCAGGAGGAACTTGGAAATGCACTTTGAATGTCCAGCAGCTGAAGAAGGAATCATAGTGACCCTCGGAACAGAAAAACCGGGACAGTACCCTGTTGGGGCAAGGGAATTACAGGAGAAAGAGAGACCACAGGAAAACTATGAAACAACTAAGGAAACAGTATCTCAAGGGGAAAAGGCACTTCCTAGGCCACAATGATACTGAATGACAAGAGCCTTAGATCGAGTAAAAAGTGCCTGATGTTTCATGTTATCCTTTTGATCCCTGCCCCATCAGACCCTTGTGGAACTGAAACAGCAATATCAAGATAAGCAAGGAGGAACAGAAACACAAAATAGAGACACAGAAAAGAGCAACTACTCTTTACCTTACTGCAGGCTTCCATCCTGCAGCCAGCCCTAGAGTGATGAACCAGGGCGGGTTTGGGGGTTAAAAGCAAATTAAATTTAAAATTTGAGTATTACTTACACCAGATTTTCTCATTTTTGTCCTTGACTGTTTGTGACTTAGTGACGATAGATGCTCTGCCACCCAAGGATGAGCAGGAAGCTGTGGGCTTCTGGAGTCTTTATGTAGGAGCAGGGAAGACGACCCCAACATAGATGACCCAAAAGGATGTTGGGGCAAAACTTCTTGAATTTTAACTGCGTATATGCTTTTTCAATACGTTGAAAACAAGTGTTTGTTTTCAAAAGATACAAGATCTAAAGCTTTGGTCAGGGAACTCTCTTTCCAGAGAAAAATGCTTAGTCACATGAAACAGATGAGTTCAGTTCAAACATGTGGGTTCAAATGTGTGAGTAAACAAATGATCTCTTTCCTCTATGACACCAACAACAGCATGTGCCTCACACCTGGCTTCACTGACCTC